TCGACGATCTCACCTGACTCTTTATCTCAAGTTTTTTGACGAAAATAGTAAACTAGTTAATAGTTTTTTTTCGTAAAGTTAACACTCAACGATCTCAATAGACCTGATGACATTTAATATCAAGTTTTTTTTGACAAAAATAGCATTGTTAAATAACCTATGAAATAGTTAAGCTCTTAAAAAAAGCTGCTCGGTTTCAGTGCAGTGTTCAGTCGATAAATATTAACAGATCGTATGATTTCGAAAAACAAGTCCATGTTATAATTTTGAAAGTTTTCGCTTCTGAAATTTTCAAATATAGTWATCTGAAGTATGCAGTTATCTGTAAGAAACTCAAAAGAACCCGATGAAGCAGGAGTTGCGATGTGCTTCGTGACAGGTGAAACTGTCCCGAGTGGCCCCCCCATAGTCTCCAAATTTGTCAAGTTTTCAGTTTTGCGCGCGCAAGTGGCCTCAGAATACCATCGACACGGATGGGTTTGGGATATTTTTGGGGACAYTTTTTTGGATTTGTTTGCCCGAAAAAGCGTTTCTATCGATGCCTCTCGTCCAAAATAAGGTAAAAAACGTTGATTTACATATGCTGTCTCAGATAAAACTTCGTTTTTATTTAATTTCGGTGCGAAAAAAGGATTTTTGTCGATCGTTTTTGGCTCATTTTTGGGAGAATTTCGAGCGGAGTCTCCTCCCTTGTCACTATATATATATATAGGTAGGGGATATTTTTTTAAACCCATTTATAATGCATTGTGACACTAAATAAAATAAAAGTAGACCATTTTTTTGAGTAAAATTTTATTTTTAACTATTATAGGTTCAAAGTCACTGCTTGGGCTCCCTGTGGTGTAACGTTTTTCATTCAGTCTTGATAATGGCTCGGTGAGCCGAAAGCTCGACAAAAATAAATAACTTTTAGGTTGAAGTAGCGCTTACATCATAAGGAAAAGAAGCTGTTGATGCTATTGATGTTATATTAAGTTAATAATCTATTAAGAGAAAAATGCGGGATCGGGATTGCGACATTAAAATTGACGGGATTGCRGGATTGTAAAAATAGATTAGCGGGATTGCGGGATTGAAAACATCCTATTGTGGACCCTCATCTAAAGCTAGAAAGGTTATTGATTCAGTTTCGTAAGMACACTGACACGAAGCTGCATGCGATCTGCACATGCGCGTGCTTTTGATGATAAGAAATGCATTCTGATGAGATTAGAGATACCGCATTTGTAAACGAATGAATTTTTGATTGTATAAAAGCGCAAGTATCATCGAACAGTTACTATCAATGTTCGTACATCTATAACGTTTGAGCTTCCGGTCATGTTAATAACACAGCCAACCCAGTAGTTGATCATTAAATACTTCCGGTTTCTACGTCTCGAATTCTTAACTTACGGTGGTCCAAGCGCTACATAATACAGGCAAAAAGGAAAAACGTACCTGGCCTACGGCTATCCCGATTAAAAAGGGGTTTCAAATGTCATGTAAGTCTATTACCCGCGACTAAGGGTCGGCTGGTCAGTCTACTCTTCACGAGTTGAGATTTCAGGTGAGGAAATACTCCAGTTTCAAATTCATAGCGAATAACCGCTGCTTTATTTGACAACAGATTCTCTTGCGCAAAGACCTTACAAACACAAAAGAGAGCACGAGAAAATGTCGTTATTACAATAGACTTGAAAATTTGCATTTTCCCCGAGTTGAGATTAACCCTGTATTCCCAATAAGACCTAAKGTATGAGCAGGGTTAGCCTCAACTCGGGGAAAATGTAGATTCTTAGCGCTATTGTATTAACAACATTTTCTCGTGCTTTCTTTTGTCTTTGGTAAGTTCTTTGCGTAATAGAATTTGCTGTCAAGTAAAACAGCGGTTATTCGCTTTGAATTCGAACCTGGAGTATTRGCAATGTTTGTAGAGCCAGAGGTGATCGATTTTCGGAGTAGCCAGCCTGTCACATTACACCACTTCTAAAAAGGTTACACTGGTTACCAGGTAGATTACGAATTGAATTTTACTCATAAATTCCAAAGCCTTTCATTGCTGAAATAAAAGATGAAAACAATAGAACAGAATCCAAGAATACCCCGAAATACAAAGAAACACAACCATAATACAATAATGCAATACACGCAAAAAGGCCTCAGTTTTCAAGTCGTTTATTAAAAACGCTTACAAAAGTAGCTGTTTTACACTTGTCACTACGAGACCGACATGTTTAGGATTTAAACAATAGCTGTAGTTAATAATGACAAATAACGTAGGATACTGTTGCTTGTAATACTCCAGTTTCGAATTCTCCAATGCTCTGTGTTAGCCTCATTTGTGCGCAAATTATTCCTTATTGTGAGCGTAAAAGTGTGAGATTTCAAATCAAATTTATTGTCTTTCTTCACAAATTCCATGCGTTTTTTCGAGCTATCAATAAAACAAAAGAATATGTTACTTGGTTTTGAGGCTAACACAGAGCAAACCAGAACTCGAAATTGGAGTATTATGATTATGATTGTAGTTATCGAGGAGCAACGCCCGCCCTCTCCCTGAGCTTATTTTCATCTGTCATTTGACGAGTCGATCTTTAATTCCTTTGCATACATAACCAACTCTAAGATACACAATGTTACGTCAATACTTCAAGCTCATATGGCGTCGACCTTTCTCTAAAAAACATGTATCGAGCCAGTAGAGGAGTGAATACAAAGTAACCTGTAGCATTACCAAGAAGAACTGCTATAAATAACCAGATGTTGTAAGTCATGACAATCAACATTGAAGAGTACTGTACAACTTTCTCAATAATGGACAGTATGGTGTTGACGACATGAAAACGTAATCTGAAGTAAAAAAGTCAATTTTCATCTCGTTGCGATGTCATAATTAATTCCTATAAACAATCTGATTTGATTTTGATTTCCTGAGAGCATAAAAAACCTTAGCTACGAACCTGATCTGTTACCCTTTGACAGGTCCCTCCACTAGAAAAAATCGCGCACTTCGCTTTAAAGGTTGTAAATTTGATGTAAATATAATGTAAGTGTCCAAAATGATGTAAATTTGATGCAAATGATTTTTTTCCAGTGTTCCAGTCACGGTGCTGGAGCACCWGCTAGGAAGACCGGTGGAGACCGGTGCCTAATAGTAGATTATATCAACTTTGCAGGGAGGTTACTCAGGTCCGTAACCAAGATGGCGCACTGGGTGCATATACATCCCCCTCCCCCCTTCCCCCCAAAGAAGCTGAAGGTCCGCTCATCTATCAACTTTATATATTGAAACTACTGATGAAAAAGCCAATAATGGTCCGGTTTTATCAGGTGAGCGCCCCCCCCGGTAGATGTTCCGGCCTTGTTATTGACGGTTCAGAGAGTGAAAATCCATAAATCCATATGATGAACATCGAACTCAGATTCTGAACACGGCAAGAGCGGTTGCGTTTTACCGTCAGATAATGTTGGGATTATTTGATCGTAACGTTATATATTCCTCGCCTTTTCTTATTATCCTAACGCGCCTTATCAAATCATTTTACCGTCGGGATTATTTCAGTAAACGAACCGTTTTACCAAATTTTCCTATAAGTGTTAATAAGTGGATTATGTATATTTTAAAACACGCCTTCGGCTCGAATCTTTATACTTGATAAAACACTCTCTCGAGTGTTTTAAACGGCTTCAAAAACTCCAACACTCATTTGAAACTCAAATCCGTTAAAATTCTTGGAAAAATTGCCGTACAAATATATTCTGAGGTAAATAGGGCAAACTGATCATGCGCGAGTCACTTTACAAAGCACTCTTGTCATCCCACATTGAATACGCATAAAGTAAAATAGAAGCGCTCTTGTCTGTTTACTGAAATCGGTTGACATCCTGCATTGGTCAATGATCAGGTTTCAAACCYGAGACCTTTGCTAGGGTCATGGACCTTTATATCTGATAAAGGTCACCCTTATCAGTATTCTTTATATAAAGAATACAAATAAGGAGTGTTTTATCAGATATTCTAAAATATTTAGGATACTACGCGCGCTGTGATTGGTCGAAAACCATGTTTGATTACAGTATCAAAACACGCTCGTTTCATATCGTATCAAAAGTCAGAATTTTTTACAATTTTCGTATTCTTTTAATTTTMGAAAAGAAATAAAAGACGAAATTCYGTGTTTGATACTCTGATCAAAACACTTGGGATGTAGGGAGAGCACTCGAAAAGCTGGAAACCACTCCGCTACGCGTCGTGGTTTCCTACGCTTCTCTCGTKCTMTCCCTACATCCCGCGTGTTTTGATCAGAGTGTCAAACACGGAATTCCGTCTTTTATTCCTTAAATAAAGGTCCATGCATGCAACCAAATAGGCTCATTCTATTGGCCTAATAACTCATTAATTATGTATGAGTTTTTGAAACGCATTTTACTGAATTATACCACGAGGATCTTTTACGGCATAACATTCATTTTACCAAATTATGCTACGTAAGACAATGAGTGCAACCCATGCATATTGCCCGCATGCACTGATAATACGGCTATTGGTATAACGCAGCTTTTACTAAATTTGCCCTAATGCGACTTTTGTTGTAAAACCTGATGTGATACATCTCGATAATGCAAAGATAACCCATAGTTATCGTGTAACGTCCTTGCGTTTTCTCTATAGTTTATGGATGGATTATGTGCATTTTACGTGATTTTTATACCGAGATTATTTGTGCATAACAAGAACAAGGGATTTTTACTTCCTTTAATTCTTTGTACAACATATCATTTCCCGATATTTCCTTTTCGATGATATTTATATTTTTGTACTGAATTCGCACGTAATTTAGGCTTTTTTAAAAAAGACCATATCACTCAGGATATAACTTTAAATAAATTTTATTTTTGATAATAAATAACTATACGTATATATTTGTAAATCTTAAAATATTTC